GGGGTTAAGTGCGAAACGTTGGAAGTTCGGAGTGTAGTTTTGGGGGATTTTGCTGTCAAGTTTCGAGTTAGAACTAAGGCAGATGGGTTTGATTGTGCTTTGGTGGCGGTGTACGGAGCTGCGCAACCAGATCTCAAGCCAGACTTTTTGGCGGATTTGGTTCGTATTTGTGGTAAGGAACAGCTCCCCCTCTTAGTAGGGGGGGATTTCAACATTATCCATTGGCAGCATGTTGTCTTCAAGACAAAAATTAGATGTTTATAAACAAACGTACAATCAGCTTGGACACGAGTTGTCAAACAATGATCATGTCCGAGCAATTTTAAATCTGAGCTACCATGACCTTTCAGACGATCTCAGAAACTGCTTCTTGTACTGCAGTCTCTTCCCTGAAGACTACCCCATGTCACGTGACAGCCTTGAGAGGCTGTGGGTTGCAGAAGGCTTTGTGCCGAGTAAGGGAAAGAACACGCCAGAGATGGTAGCTGAGGGAAATCTCATGGAGCTGGTCCACCGCAATATGCTTGAGGTGGTGGAGTATGATGAGCTTGGCAGGGTCAGCTTCTGTAAGATGCATGATATTATGCGTGAACTGGCTAGTTCTGTTGCTAAAGAAGAGAGATTTGCTTCAACAGATGATTACGACACGATGATGGATATTCGTCGTCTGTCATCATGTGAATGGAAAGAGGACACTGCACGGAAAGCTGAACTTTCACATCTTCGAACAGTAGTGTCAGTAATTCCATCCTCGCCTGACATGCTATCATCAATTTTATCTGCATCGAACTACCTTACTGTTCTTGAGCTGCAAGACTCTGAAATAACTGAAGTGCCAAAATCGATTGGGTCTCAGTTCAATCTGCGTTACATCGGGTTACGGCGCACCAAGGTCAAGGCACTTCCGGACTCTATTGAGCATTTGTCTCGCCTCCACACCCTCGACATCAAGCAAACCAAAATAGAGAAGCTACCACGAGGGCTTTTCAAGATCAAGAAGCTGCAGCATCTTTTCGCCGATAGATATGTTGATGAGAAGCAGGTGGAGTTTCGGTACTTTAATGGAATGCAAGCACCTAAAGAGCTGTCGAACTTGCAAGAACTGCAAACTCTTGAGACCGTGGAATCCAGCAATGACCTGGCCGAACAGCTGCAGAAATTGATGCAACTAAGAAGTCTGTGGATTGATAACATTAGTGCCGCTGAGTGTGCAAATCTGTTTGTTACCCTTTCAAATATGCCGCTTCTTTCAAGCTTGCTTCTTTGTGCAAGGGATGAGAATGAGGCACTTTGCTTTGAGGCTCTCCAGCCAAGGTCTACAGATCTACACAAGTTGATTATCAGAGGGAAATGGGCCAAGGGGACACTAAATTGCCCGATATTTCTGAAGCATGGGACACATCTCAAGTATCTAGCTCTAAGCTGGTGTCACCTTGTGGAAGATCCACTGGAGATACTTGCGCGGCACATGCCGAACCTCACGTATCTGAGACTTAACAACATGCATGGTGCAAATACTCTGGCTCTTTCTGCAAATTCCTTTCCAAACCTGAAGACACTTATCTTAACGTGCATGCATGATGTCAGTGAGCTAAACATCAGTGACGGCGCTCTTCCATGCGTTGAAGGTCTGTATATCATCTCGCTACCGAAGCTTGACAAGGTCCCTCAAGGCATTGAATCCCTTCGCGCCCTTAAGAAGCTCACGCTGCAGTGCTTGCACAAGGATTTCAGAAGTCAATGGGACACCAACGGAATGCATCAGAAGACACTGCATGTTCCAGAGGTTCGTGTCTAGATGCAGCAGGTCGGTTCTACCTGCAATGTTTGTCTTGGATGGTGCATCTGTCATTCACAGTCGTGTGGTACATTTAATCATTCCAGTAAAATTTGTGATTATTCATACCATCAGCAACATTTTACGGTGCTTATATGTGTAACATATTTACTCAAAGTTTGGTTTCCATTGCCTTCTAGTGGCCCCCATCTGGTTTTATGTTGTTACAGTCATATGTGCTAGTACTGATTTCATGTAATGATATGTATCATTCTTATAGAACACCTTCTGTGAATAATCCTGTCAAACATTTCATCTTATATGTGGATATATCTTGATCTTTGTCACTGTATGACCCTATGGTTTGATTCACCAAGAGGTATTGCACTGTCATTTCAGCAGCTGATGCATGTGTGTGTTTTCCTGATTAGGTGCTCAAATTTCAGATTAACAAGATCTAGAGTTAGTATCATTTTTTAGCAGCACTTATGTGTCTTCCACGGGAGTTTGGGTCCTCCTGTTTGAAGGAGACAGACTGGTATCATTTTGGTTCATCTTGATATGATGTCGGATACTTTAGGGAGAAGTAACACAAAGTGGTATATGCATTTTATGAACATGTCCTCTATGTTGACAATATGATGCGGAAAACGGTTTTCCTGGACATGAATACCTCATCTTGTGAGATTAATTGATATCAGGGGAAATTGCAGTCGGAAATGTCAATGTGGGTATGTTGTTTCCTGCCCCGGTTAAGTCCCTGCTTCAGAGGCCAAGAGCCAGAGCTTGGTCGAAGTAGAGCAAGTGTGTTTTGCTGCCATATTTTAGAGGATACAAGGATCGAAAACTTGCAATAGCAATGCAATATCTGTCTTTTCATGACAGTTATGGTGGTCTGCATTTGATCATCTTGGTATTGTTTGAGTAAATCGATTGAATTATAACCCTTATCTTCGAAACCGGGCGTATTGCACCCTCCACTTACCACAACGTTTAAAAGACAACCCTAGTCCCGTTTTTGGGCTGGTCAACCAGTCTTGACTAAAGCCAAAGCTGACTGGTGGGTCAGAGCAGCTCGGGGCTGGAGATGGCTTGGGGGTGCAGCGCGTGCGGCCGGTCTACGGTCGTCGCCGGCGGCGGTGAGCCTTGGCGATGGAGGAGTCCCAGGCAGCGGCGACAGGGGACTGGGGGTCGGGCTCGGAGTTGACTCAATCGTGATGAGAGAGAGGGGTGGGTTTAGATATTGCTTCACGTGAACCGGTTTAGCCCAGGCATGCGCATCTACTTTTATTTGGTCTATGCTGGTGGAGTGAGATGGTTGGGTGCCCTTGAAGACGCATGTGTTACGATTTCCAGATTGTCCAAGCTGTAAGCGCGATGATAGAGCACACACCAATCTACGGACTGGTTGGTGACGTGTGAGAAGCAGCAATCCACTAGTCGATGAACCCAACAGTGCCGCCGGGTGAAGCAATGGTGAGGCGCCACCAGTATAATATCTCGTGCCAAACAATACGAGAAGCAACACATCCAGAGACTAGATGGTTGATGGTTTCGTCCTCTTGGTCAGATAGGATGCAAGACTAAATGTGAGGTAGTCCATGGTGAGCAAGCCTCTCAGCTGTCCAACACCTGTCTAGGCTCACTAGATAGAGGAAGAACTTGACGCTCAGGGGAGCCCAAGGGTTCCATATGAATTGTTAGTGAGGCGCCATAGTGGAGCCATGAAACAATGCAAGGTAGCAAGACTTGACAGTGCAGGAAGTGTTGTCCGTCCATCTTCATTAGATGTTGTCAGAAGTTAGGGATAGAAAGTAGCCTCGTAGGCGTCACCAAATGTCGACGTATTGGACCCTAGCAGCCTGGCGGACCCATGCCACCATTGATGTCTTGAATCCACACTAGGCGGTGCTTGCACTGCCGCTTCAGCACCAAGTTAACCAGGTCAGGTGCGAGCTCGGTGATGAATTGGCTATCAAGCCAATGGTCTGTCCAGAAATGGCAGGTGCGGCTGTCCCCAAGGGTCCACGTGATGAAAGCACGGAAAATTTGTCGCACCTTGGGGTCGGGGGAGGGATTGGTTAATAAAATATTGTTAATTTATTTGAATTTACGTCAACTTTGGTTAATAGTATGATGTTGACCGAAAATACAAAAATAATATATTGTATGTATGCCGTATTTACCGAGAGCCATACTACTTTACCGAGCCGAATTAACTTTTTTTAGGCAACTGAACCGAATGCAAGACGCCACTACAACCAGCCCACCCCCAGCCAAGTGGGGCCACGAATAATAGAAGATGCCACTCTTCCCCACTCCACTCCGAGCCCTGTTCTCCCCCGGCACCGCCGCCTCCTCCACCTCCGCGCTGCCGCCGCCCCGTCGACCGCCGCTCGCGGGAGCCCTCCTCTTCCTCAGCCTAGGAGCCGTAGCGGGTTGCGCCCTCTCCACCCGCCGTCTCCCCTTCCTCCGGTAATCCACACCCCTCTCTCTTCCCCCCTCCCTCTGCCCTCAACTAACAATTCGTGCCTAGATTCATGGGATTTCGCAAAAAAGGCTGCGCCGGTTGGTTGTGAGCGTGTAGCGTATTTAGCTCCTCTGTTTGCTAGCTCGTAGGCTAGTTGTGTAGCTGCAACCCCGTCGATGAGCCTGGAAATAACCAATCAGGCAATCACGCGCGCTTCAATTTTACAATCCTTCATGGATTGCTGTTACCTAAAAGTCTGAAACCTGTGTCCCGCTCTGCTTGGCTGGATAAAACAATGCTTGTCTATGAAAGATAACACGGAGAACCAATGGACTGCAGCGTTACTTCAGTGAACTGGTACTCCCATATGTTTCCAACCATTAGTTCTGGTCCATACTTCTGCAAAATCATCGCACAGATTTTCAGATAAAAATTATGTGTTTCTGTGCTTGACTAATGCTAATAATTTGATAATCTAGAAGTAGTACTACATTAATATTTACAACACTGTGATTTCTATGTGAGCCTGTGGTTATTTTGTTTCTCCTAATGTAGAATGTTTTTTTTTGACCCGTAATGTGGAATAGTTGGTATAATCAATCATCAGTTCTGAAACTTTACAGGGCAATAAGCTCTGCTCGAATGGAGTCTACTTCCACGACCGTACCTTCCATTGTTGTGTATGTGACAGTTCCGAATCGGGAAGCAGGTACTTTACCCATGCTGTTGGTCTTTTTTTATTACCTTTGCATGCTACCATTGCCATTAATTAATCACAGATACACGCCATACTATCAGTTGACCAACTGAACTTACTTCCACATCTGATAGTGCATTTGAGTTACATTTGAGCTATGTTGTTCAATGGTCCAATTATAGATGGCTGTATGGTATTGTTTTGGCGAGATTGATCTCTTTCTTTAAGCAGCACTAAGAAATCTAAAATGGCTGTTTTTTTTCTTTTCAATAATCTTATTATTATTTTTCCTTTGCTGCAGGCAAAAAGCTATCAGCAAGCATTATCAGTGAGAAGCTTGCTGCTTGTGTGAACATAGTGCCTGGTAGGAACTGTGTTCTCTCTCTCTCTCTCTGTTTATTCTGTGCTGCTAGACACTCAAATGTAGTAGATTCTTTTTTTGTTTTTTGCGTGGAATAGTTGATTCCTGTCAACTGACCATCTTCTACAGTAGTTTTCAGTTATCATTTGAACCTCGTCATCTCTTCCAGTTTCCATACATATCCCATGTTGTGCACTTTAGCAAATTGGCTTCTCTACCCCTTGCCTTGAATCAAATGTCATCACTCATCAGTGGACCAGGATGACCATTAAACATCTGAGTTTTCCAAAATGTGACACGGCTAGTCATGTGGCTGTGTACATCATCATTTGGCCTGTCAGGTGCAGCATCGTGAAATCACCACTGTTGGAACTAAACTTGATGAAAGGTATTCAATTGACGAAACTTATGGGGTCTCAACTGTCAAGTGAAAATCATGGTGAAAATGAAGGGCTGAAGGGAACTATCTTAATAATTATAGAAGTAGGGATTAGCGATGGTATTAGAGATGGAGTATAAACTATAAACATGTTATGCTTGATAGCCAACTCTACCTGGTCAATGATAAAAAATATTTATATGATAGAGCAACTTTCTGTAGAGGTTCAACATAATTACTGTTTGAGATTTTCTACTTGAATTAACCACAAACGTCTGACCATCATCAAGATCTTCAAGATCCCTTTAACAGTAGACTATAGTGAACCGGACTAGTTGTGGACATAATGATGTGTGGGCAAGTTGACACATGGGTGACTTTCTTGTTTGTGTAGAACATATGGGTGCAATGATTACGAAATCTTTTATCAAATTGTACTCTTTACTAACAATAAAAATATGCATTAAACTGATGGATATGCATTTGGCCATCAACAGGTAAGCTACCTCATCTTCTCACGATTTCTGTTGTATGTGGCTTACTGAGAAATCTTCTTTTCAGTCATCATCATATCATATCATCTTATTTGATGATCGTTTCTGTTTCCAGGAATTGAATCTGTTTACTGGTGGGAGGAAAAGGTACATTTCTACTGATGCTTTCCTGGCCTGGCTAATTTGCAGTGCCTGTTATTCATTCAACGCTTTTCACCATGAAACGAGAGAATTTCTGGACCATGGTCCACCCACACCTATGCTCGGCGTCGTTAGATGTAACACTACTACCATGTGGATACTAGATACGGGTCAGGTTAGGATTCAAGATTTGTAGATTATGCTAATTCGGACATCCGGTCCACCACCAGCTCCATGTGTAGGTCTGTGCACACTCGCCCTTTTTTGAACTACGTGGCTGGCACAGTGCGCTAAACTACTCTAGCATATGAGCCCAACCCTGAGATTGTTTAAAAACAATCTTATCACCAGCTCCTTGTCCTGCGCTAATGCCGACATTTTTAAAGTTTGTCTGCGAGGGTCACCAGAGGTCAAACGTTTTAGACACTGCATCACATGGCGAAACATTGAAAGTGCATTTAGGTACTTACATACATGCTTTTCAACAAGATAACAACAAAAAACAGACACCTTAAACAAACTGCTTAGGTCCCAATATACTAAAAATGATGGCATGCAAGCCATAGCGCCCTGGTTGTTGTGCATAAGGCGTGCAACAAAAATCTTAAATGGTCATACCGCATGGGGGACAGGATTGTGCACAACGACGCATCCCTCCTATTTTATTCCCCTATACGGAGTATCTCTCACCATGTAGTAGGTTGATTAAAAAAACCAGAGACCTGATAATCAGTGGTTGATGATTCCTGCCATATGCTAGGAGGGCAGAATGTCACATATCTCAAGAAATGGTGTGAGGCGATGAATGGTACCGAGCGTGGGTGCCGGTGGACCATGGTCTAGAGCCACATTTCTAACCATGAAACTCCTTTACATGGGATGTCTTACCAATCCATTACAAAAGTACATATATTTAGTAGCTCTCCACAACCTGTTGATTCCTCAGGTGCAAACCGATGCTGAAGAGCTGCTCATCATCAAGACCAGAGAATCTCTTCTAAACGCCTTGACTGAACATGTGAAAGCAAACCATGAGTATGAGTAAGTTCTGTCCTTTTTTATCAAGCTTGGTCTATTTGTTGGTACAGAGTATGGACCAGCAAGTTATAATCAAACATGTTGTCTGTCCTGAACGGAGGTTTGTACTGTCTGATCTTTCCATGCAGTGTTCCTGAAGTCATCGCGCTGCCCATCAGCGGAGGTAACCTCAAGTACCTGGAGTGGCTCAAGAACAGCACCAGGGAGAAGTGATCTGGCTAGAGCTTTCCATGGACCTCATCTGTGAGTAGAGTACCTAGTGGTGTGGATTGTGGAGTGTCTGTTCTGGTTTGAGACGCCGAGCTTGTTCATAAAGACTTTAGTAGCCTCTCTGCCTCGATGGCGTTGCCGTGACAAATCGGTCGATCTGTACTGTCTCCTAGGGTCAAATAAAATTCAGAAGCGTGTAGCGTCGAGACGATTGCACATGAAATCCTCACTTGGCGCCTGCGGATTATCTCATCATTCTTTTCATCTAATCTCTTAAAAAAACATACGTACTAGGTATTTTTTTTGTCATGAGACTGTACTTGTGTTCCAAAGGGGGAATAGGAGCTGAAGGACATGGGCGTCATTTGAGCTGAAGGAGTAACAGTCAAGTATGATTGAGAAGGGAAGTTAAAGAAGCTACAGTACCCTAACTTCCCTTCTTTCTATTCATATGATTAAGGCTAAAATAAGTCAAATTAATTTGTAAATTGATGATCTACTGTGTACATTTATTGTAGTAATTACACACAAATAAGTTGATGGTGAAATAAAATTAATTTTAAACTATTATATCTACAGTAAATATCAACAGTAAACAAGTTGCTAACTACCTACTAACAGTCTCTAACTTTATTTTTTCATTTTACACTGGGCTAGCACTGTAGCACCATGACTTTCTTCTCTATGCTAGAGGATCCAGTTCGTAGTACTTGGCGTAAGTTGGAAAAAGAAGAGAGAAACGATGTGCGCTTTACCTCGTCGCTAAGCTACGAGAGTTCCATGTAAAAAGAGTAGAGATCTATCAGTAATCAGTAGGGTAGGCAACTGACACGAGTTTGCCGACCACTCCTACTACTGATGATTGCCTGATGGCTAGGCAGTAGGCACGGCAAGAGAGTTATCGATGCTGAGGACACCGTCACTGTGTGGTGTGTACCACAGTTATAAAAAGTCTCTCCAATAATGTATCCTCTTTTGGCTTTCTCTAATATAAGCCCTTTTACTTTGGAATGATAGTACTAGAGTATCTGCAGGCTGCACCACTGAGCTGAATCCGACATGTGGCTCGTCTGGTCTGGAGATCTGGTCACATGATGCGCTGGGCCAGCAACAGGCTTGCAGTTTTGTTCATTCCAAGGTGGTTAGGTTCAGTGGGAATCTGCCTACTGATTCAGATGCACCCCTACATTAAAATACTGATTCAGATGCACTTGTACCAACACCGAGATCGATAATATGATCCTACCTACCCACCCACATTGGCACATAGCTAACAAGATAGCAGTAGCAGCTGCTTAAATAATAAATAATCAGAGAAAGTTCAGTATAATAACCAAATCATCTGGGTATCTGCACTTTTGTGGTGCCGCAAAGATCACCCCAGAGAGAAGAACTCTCAGCTCACTGGTAACAAGGGGAGCAAAGAAGAGCAAGCACCTGTCAGACAGTCACACACACACAACTGTATTAACGGGCAAGTGTGCGCGCAGTACACTGAACCATCATATTTTCAACCCAAAAACAAGCACACACGCATGTACTACTAATCAACAACAATTAACCTTAGCCAGTAGCCAAGTCACACGCCCTACTCTCCTCTAGCGGGGAAGGGGCACACGCATCAGATCAGATCAGATAAGATTCAGAGTCACACACACACACACACCGGAACCGAGCGAACAGCACTCGGAGAAGATTCAGAGACGCAAAACAACTATTTTTCGATGACTATGTCAGGGAGAGTGGTCACAGCAGAGCCGAGCGAATCGTCGTCGGAGGCGTCCACCATCTTGTGGAGCTCGTCCGGGTTGGCACCGACGATCTTCTTCACCACCTCCTTGGCCTTGATGAGGAAGAAGGTGGGCATGGCCTTCACCCCCAGCTTGGAAGACACGCCCTGCATATATATACACGTCGTTGCATCTTAGCTTAACTAGGCCGCATGTTCAGAACAGATTACAAAGCTGACTAATTCTTGTTTGTTGAGAAACGAGCATGCCATAATCTTTTGAGATAATTGACAAAACGTCGAGTCAATTTATCATTTGATTGAGTGAGTAGGTAGCCCCTCTCTGTTTCTCTGAAGAAAGTTGAGTCTAAATCTTGTTGTCGAAGAATGATGTGATACTATAAACAATAATAAGCCATGAGGGGAGAATAATTAGGGGAATGAATGAATGATTGGTTACCGGGACATCATCGACGTCGACGAAGAGGAAGAGCATGTCTGGGTGGGTCTGGGCGAGCTCCTCGAACTTGTAGTTCATGGACAGGGACGTGACGCACCACGACGCCCCAAAGTGAGCGGCGACCTGCACAACATGGAGGGATAATGTAACCAAAGCCACCTTTTAAGTCTACGTAAAAGAAAGGCAATTTGAGTGCAGAACACAGTAATCATAAGCCCCATGCATTCCTCATCAATTTGCAGGATTTTTTGTTTTCTGTATGTAAAAGGCACACGAGCAGCAGAAGAACAGGATGGAACACGCAAAGGCAGTTAATTATGCCGCAAGATCTCCGGCTATAAATGCGGGATTTCGAGGATCCACGGCGCGAAAACGCCGAGAATCCGGGCTCAGAGAATTGAACGGAGTATGAACAAGAAATTGGGCCGAGAGAAGGGCGGCAAAGAGTTGGGGGAAGAAGGAGGAGGAGGAGGAGGAAAGATGAACCGGGGACGCACAGTGCGGCCTTCGTTGGCGGCCTGGGTGGTGAAGAGCTCCCAGGCGGCCTCCTTGTCCACCTTGACCACCCTGCAGCTGCCCACCTCCCGCGGCCGCTGGATCTCCACGTCCATGCCGCCGCCGCCTCCCTCCTCTACCTCCTCCGGCAACAAGAACAACAACAACAAGAAGGAAATCACAGGCTGTCTGTCCCGAGAGAGAAAAGGCAAAGAGGCAAGGAAGGAAGTGGCAATCCACTACGGCCTACGGGCTGCGCTCACATCAGATAAGCCGCACCGCGCAGCGCACAGGATTATATTCCGCGGCTGCGCGCCGGGTCCGGCCCGGTCCCGCCTCGCTTTGTCCGCTTCCGATATTTATTTGTTTGAGGCCTCTATTTGTTTTACTACCAACTAGCAGGAACAATGACCCCAGTACTAGTATAGCAGCTACGCAGATCGTGAAAGGGCGTCCCAACTCCAACACACGACCTCAAAAACCTCCGTTTTGTCTGAATTTTATCCGTTTGAATAGGACAATGAAATGGCGTCCAATCGTTTTTTTAAATGCGCTGGCCGTGCGCCTAACACGCCAACACATCTCGTCCGGTCGCCTGGAATATTTTGCAAATGAAATTTTACCACCACGGCGTAGTTCATGCCAGTGGCCGTCATACATATGCGAGCCTGCAAACTGATCAACCCATCGAGTTTCCGCGTCGGCAACAAATCCAGAGGCCGGCACATCTGCCAGCCTTCAAAATGAACAACCTCCAAGTTTTCTCGCCGGCAACAAAGTTAGCGGCCGGCATACTTGCCGGCCTTCAAAAAGAGCGGTCATAGTCCATGGCCGAGTCCTCCCTAGTTCATGGCGTCTCGGTCAAACATCTTCTTTTGCCGGCTCTCGAACCAACTTCTTCTCTTCGGGGACATGTTGGTCACATCAACGCTCATGGTTACTAGCGCCACCTCTTTTGCCTTGGTGTCGCATTGGTGGCCTCGGTCGCGAGCTTCTTTGTTTGGACGACCTCCTCCATGTCGAGCTTCCTCCTCTTGGTGGCCTCCTCCATGTCAAGCTTCTTCGTTTGGAGCTCCAAGTATATCTTTCATTTGCTCCTCATTTCCTTGTCGCTTCCTCTTGCCCCTTACTTCCTTTTGAGTCATCATGTCGTGCAAAGTTTCTTGCAAGGTGATAGATACCGCATCACGCTTCTCGACCTTCGAGTTGGTCTGGCCCCTCGGCCTCTTCAACACATCTCCAATCCCAGCCACGGCCGCCGGCCCTCCTTTCTTCTTTGGAGCAACATATTGATCTTTGAACTTGGGGCAATCTTTGATGAGCGACCAACAATGGGTGTGAGTGAATGGCTTGTTTTTATGCCGGGCCTTGAAGGCTTCCAAAGATTGGAATGCCTGCACAATCAAAGAGAAGGCCACAAATGTAATAGCGAAGGACACAAGATGCAACAAATATGAACATGGCATAGCAACAAAATAGGAGAGGTCATATCAAGTCACCCACGCCAAGACCACTCACGGGACGATGCTCTCAAGCACAACACAATGCTGTTGCATTCTTTTTGAATGAACCCCCATCTCTTTTGGATTGACTTGATGCCACGGTCGCTCGCAAACTTGTAGGACGCAAACTTCCTCCGCTCATGAAAGGTTGTATGAACTCTCGTCCAAAAAACGGATCCTTTTTGCTCGGCACCGGTCTTGGGATCTTGGCCTATCTCCATCCAACTCTCGCAAATCAATATGTCCTCTTGTTTGGTGTATGACCCCGTGCGAATGATTTGATTCCTTATTTGTGTGTCTGCTCTTTGGGTGAGCTCATCGATAAACAATGGCTTCTCCGCAATGTTGACCTCTTCTTCCTCATCTTCGCAATACATGCCCTCATCTTCATGCCATGAGTTGCCATGGTCTTCGGTCTCTTCTTCTTCATGGACACTGTAGTGGTCGGCACCATCTTGGCCGCGGGCGTCTTGGCCTTGGGTCTCTTCGGGATCGAAGCCTTGGTCTTGCCCCTCGGTGTGGATGGCTTGGCCACGACCCTCGTAGATGAGTTCTCCATGGACGAGTTGTAGTCGGGGCCGTCAGCCGCCGGCGTCAGGATTAGCATTTCGTCGAACAGGTTGCACGCGCCGGGAAGGTTGGTCGTAGGAATCGACCGGGGATGCTTCCTTTGCATCCCGTCGGATGACTGGCCAGCGCCACTGTACCCAAGCGTGGTGTTATACCTGGGCATATCTCGGCTGGGCCGAGCCAAAAAATAGCCCGGTGCTAAAAACCCAGGCCCGAGCCCGGCCCGGCCTGACCGCCAGGCCTACTAAATCGGGCATGAGCCCGGCCCAAGCCCAAGCCCAAAAAAGCCCGACATGATCTGGTCGGCTCGGTCCGACTACGGCTAAAAATTCTATTTTTCACAAGCCCGAGCCCGGCCTGATCTGCCCGTCGGGCTCAACTTCCAGGCCCGAGCCCAGACTAGTGGCAGGCTCGGGTTTCGCCCGGCCTGGGATTTTCGGGCCGGGTCGGGTCGAGCCATCCGGGCCGGGCTTCTCATTGCCAGGTATAGGTGAGGTCGATGACGACCGGGTGGACGTAGGTGTGGCCGGCGTGATCACGCTGCCCGTCCGACGACGTGGAGAACTAGGTTTGAGCGTGCTGCGGCGGCAGATGAAAACCGGGCGTCTTCGATGTTATGGAGAGCTCGACGACTGGTACTGCGGAGGGCGAACGACCGGCGAGCCTGTGCTCGTCGCGGCCATGATGGCGGCGAAGAGAATGGCTGGCTCGGGTCGGCACAACCCTAACATGATGAGGGCATGCGTTGCCACTGCCTGCATGGCCTTGGCGATGATGGCCTCGTTGTGGTCGACAATGGCCTTTGTGCGGCGCGGCTTGCTGCGCGGCCGCGGCGTCGGCGACATAGTCGGTATCGTCTTTCTTCTCTGCCGCAACGGTCCGTCCGGCCCTCCTCTTGGCCGATTCAATGTCGAGACGCGCGACCTTGGTCGTTGTCCGTTATTCTCAAACGAACGCGGTCGAATCATTTAGAGCCGTGCCTTGGAGTTGGAGTTGGCCTTATGTGTGTCGACCACACAAAAGATATGGCGGTAGAAAACAAAACCTGTGACTTAGGGAGGGTGGCAATGGCATGTCGACGGAGATGGCTGTCTCATTCGCGGAGAGGGAAAAAGGAATGGCTATCAGGTGAGAAGTAGCTTTAAAATAGCACCAGCAGCAGCGTCACATGGCCTTTGGCTGGCCAAATAGCAGGAGAGAACGGGCAGCTTGGGAGATCCGCGTCACGGTGCACCGGTTAGTGGTGACGCTAGGTAGCCTCTGGAATCTAGCTCGCTCGCTCGCTCGCTCGCCGCTTGATTTGGAGCTGGCCAAACTGCTGGCCGAGGCCCGAGAGGGTATGCTAGATTGTTTGTTTGTTTGCCACAACACTCTTATAGTTAGCCTCTCTCCGCTGTTATTTCTAGACTCTTCTAATGGGATACTGCTAGCACATGGTTTTGTGCGCTTCTTCTTCTTCTTCTTCCCTTGTCGTCACCATCAGGCAATGCGTGTGCGTGCTTGCTGTATTCTCCTATGCACCAATACTTTGGGCTGTCATATACTTTTATAGAAAAACCTGGAATTTACCCAATTAATATGAACCATCCATTTCGTGTCATCTGATGGTTAGTACTACTCCTATTATCTCTTGAAAGGCAAGATATGGAGAACAATCTTGCAGGAGATATATGAACCTTTTCTTTCCGGGTCTGTCTAGGGCACATCTAGATGTGACATAGTTATGTCACATCTAAACTGATGTCCACTTTGTTTGTGGTTTATTTATTTTTTGTCCTAGTTTTTTTATTTTTTGTTGCTGTATTATATATTTATGGGAGTTTAGATGTGACTTTCTTAAAAAATATCTAGATGTGAATTAGACAAACTGTTTCCTTTATATGCAAATACAGAAATAAATCATTTCGGCATTGAAACATGGTGCAAAACTAGAGAATATATCATGCATAGTGCAACAGTTTTCATGCCATTTGTCTATGTGCCACGTCTCCGCCATTAATACCCACGAGGTGCCACCCCTCCCTCACTCGTAACATAGTTCTAGATCATGACACACGCTTTGCTGCGTGGTTCTTCCGGCGTGAGTGAAGTCTCGTCTATTTATTTTCTATGTGGGTTTTATTACAGTATTAGTTAATTATCTTTCATAGTATTGTTGATCATAGGTTAAATTGTTACTACATAATGAAATGTGTCGACCAATCAAGTTAGATGAGCTATCTGTCATCAGCCTCTTGCATGCATTGCAAAGGACAAAGCCATCATCTTTTGGTATAAATTCAAATACTCCTTCTGTTCCATAATATAGTGTACATAATTTTTTTAAAGTGAAAGTTTGTGAACTTTGACCAAGTTTATAGAGAAAACTATCTATATCTATAACCCCAAATATCTAAAATATGAAAATACTTCTTATAATGAATCTAATGATATATGCTTGGCATTATAGATGTAAATGTTTTTCTAAAAAAACTTGGTCAAAGTTTGTTTCATTTGACTTAAAAAATATGCACTACATTATGAAATGGCGAGAGTACTCAATTCCGCTCTAGGGAGCATTTGGTCATGTTTACCGATTATTTTTTGTAATGATAAAAATTATTAAAAAAATCAAACATGCACATATTCATGTATAAAATGCCAAAGTATTTCAATCTGTGTAAAAAAAACCAAGTTGGATGACTAATTTTTGACATTTCTCAACTACTTAGCTTTATTTTTTCATTGATGAAAAACTATTGTTCCATCTCTCGTGAAAATTTTCATGCATGTTTTCAACACTAACATGGACGTGAAAAGAAAATCAACATTTTCTAAAGTGGTTTGCTATTTGTTTTTAATTTACTATCATCAACAAATGCTCCCTAGAGCGAAAACGCCATGCCCATCTCCAGTTCAGCTATACAGTAGGCTGCCCTTCCTTTTAAGGCATGTGATGTTGTGGGTAGCTAGCAGGAAAATAAGAATCACATTGATGTTCTTATATACTGCATTTGTTTATTTTTACTCTGTATTAGATTTCTTTGAAGTCAAACTTTGTAAAGTCTAATTGAGTTTATATTTAGCAATATATTCCGCGATATATCTAACGATATTGTTTTCGTATTGTGCATGTTAATATTTTCTGAAAACTTGATCAAACTTACACTGAGTTTGACTTAAGACAAAGTGTATATACGGAGGAAAAGGAAATAAGAGTATAATATACATATACTTTTCATTTGAGAGATACAATAACATGTACTAATATACATTCACATTTAAGCAATGGACGCATATTGAAAAATGGGCCAACAACTCTCCCCTCAGCCCTGAGCCACAAGAGGCAAGAAATTCAAGGGAGCTTAGTAACTAGAAAGATTTCTTGAGACAGATAGAAACAAGTCTGATAGGGCTCATGCTGATGCTCAAACCAAGAACAACCCAAGCAATTATCAATCACCTATATTCTTCACGTTTCTCCTTTAATCCATCCATAACAATAAATAAATAAAAGGGTATCTTTGTGAGTTTGAGGAACATGCTCATCGTATTTTTGTGCCACATTATATTAGATTACTTTATATAAATGACAACACTGACAATAGTTCTGACAAACAAATATATTACAATCAGTTCAGACTTAGACACTATACACGCTTGACTGCTTTTGTGAGGTGAATACATGGAACCTTTACCACAGTACATAGTTCACAATATCAACACACACCTACACACACACAATCATAAAACGAGTCCGGTAGTCACATAGTACATAGGAATAATATAGCATGGTAAAGCATACCATTTTAGCTCATGATTGTCATTTTGAGTTGTCCATCAGATGTCAACACTTCCCCTTTTCAGAAGATCAACCAAATAGTCTTCTTATGATCGACGTTTTCCTTTCAACAATTTCCTTTTTGAGATCAACCATAAAATTCTTCTTATTATCTGTGTTTTCCTTAATAAAGAGACAATAATATTCACCATAGTGGGAGTGAATATCCAACTCTTTGAGTTTTGGAAGCGCATTGTTTGCCTCGACTCTCTTCAGTTCTTCCACATCCATCATGAGTTTCTTCAGGCAACGAAATCCACCAGCAGAGAAGACAAGATGGTCATCCTTGCAGGAGTTGGAATACAAGGAAAGGGTGGCAAGAAAGGGCAACTCAGCCAACTTGTCAATGAATTCTTGAGATATACTTGTTTTCACCAGTGAAAGAGTAACGAGATTAGGAAGGAAAAAGACACCATCCAACTTAGATGGCAAATCCAGCTTTCCTTCTAGCACTATGAACTTGAGGCGGCGATGGGTGTAGCTAGTGAACACACTTGATGGAATATTTTCACCTTTTATGATCAGAGTCCTAAGGTTCTCAAGCCTATTTAGAGCATTTGAGAGAGACACCACATTGACTTCTGGAGAATACCCAACTCTTAAGTACTCAAGATGGATCATCTCACCTAATGTCCCAACCAATTCTTCCTCCAATGTATCAATTTGTATGGAGTCAAGTGTCTGTAGGTGCTTCAACCTGCCAATTTTCTTAGGAAATTTCAGGAAACTACCAAAAACATGCCTTAGTGTCTTAATCATCCAGAAGGCCAATGGGAGCTCCCGAACTTTAGTTTCCCTCACATCTAGTGTTTGAAGACTAGTGAGCCTTCCAATGGATCGTGGGATTTCCTCTAATGAACAAGATGTAATTCCAAGGTAATGCACATGCACAACATTTCCTATTTCATCTGGCAACCTCTTACCAATCTCAATGCCTTGTAGATTGATGACACGAAGGAACTCAGATCTATGCAATAATCCTTGTATATGAGATTTGATGTCTTTGTTCCTCTTCCACTTAGAGATTTCCCTAATTTGAGGCGAGCAACATAAATAAGTTTGATTCTCTTTGGGATCTTTGGCATCTTGTTCAAAATGTGAGAAGATGGATCGTAGCTTCGGCAAAGAACTGGCTAGGACAGCATATTTATCTGTGGAATTCTGCAGAGAGAGGCGACGAGCACTTGTCAATGTGGGGATGTCATCACCGCTGTGGACTTCCACAAAACTTGCCTCTTGTGCTTCAAACTGCAAAAATTCATGGACTTTGTTCTGGATGGTGACAAAGATACTCCCAGCACTAGATGTATCTTCCTCATCCATATGCACAGGCTTAACTAGATTTCTTGCAATCAACTCATTCAAGTAGATGTATCCCACCTTCTCCATTGTCTTCCCCGCTCTTGGTCTTAGGAATCCCTCTGCCATCCACATGCACACCAATCTATGGGACTCAATCTTGATGTTGGCCGGCAATGCAGCAAAGTAGAGGAAGCAACATTTCAGCTCATGTGGAAGATCATCAAAGCACAAAGATAGTATCCTGTGTAGTCGCTTTGATTGGCTGGACTTAAGATAGTCAAATACATTGGTCCACTCACTAGGAAATTCCTTTGTTTGTACAAGACCTGATAAAAGAACAATACCAAGTGGCAACCCTTCGGTGATATTGTGGATTTCTTGGTGGTGCTCATGCAATTTTTCATCTTGTACTTCAATATGGAGTAGCCTCTTATGGAACAGTTCTATAGCAGTCTTCTGTCCAAGAGATTGTAACTTGATGATTTCATGATGATAGCTGACAGGTGGCTCTTCTGGTTTATGTTGTGTGATATGTAGTATTCTACTGCCTTCAGCACCAACTTTGAGGTTATGCAGAATGTTCTTCCACTCAGTGCTGCTAACTTCACCATCTATCACTAGCAAGTATTTTTTTCCTCTTAGTTGATCTTTAAAATTTTTGTCGACATCACTTCTAGTGCAATTCTCATCATCCTTTGCCAGCTTTTGAACGATTTGCCACATGATATTGCTAGCCGTCATATAGGGTGCAAAACTCTCCATAGCATGAACAGGGAAAATTTTCTTCTTAGCTATTTTATCATATACTTCTCTCACGAGAGTTGTCTTGCCAACACCGCTTTTTCCAAACACTGAGATCACGACCGGATGGTGATGTTGACTCTGTAGTTTCTCATGATCAATGGGAGTAAGAAGAACATTCTCCAGTTGCTTTTGGTAACCTTCGTGTATTGGCACATGTGGTGGCAGTAAATCATCCCTTCAATTCAACCATTGTTACTTGTTAGTAATTTGTAGTAGTTAGGAATTTAAATTTAATGGATCATTTTACATCTCAATATTATTGTAGTGCGATATAAATCATATCTACGGACTTGTAACATTCAAGGTTGAACTTAGGTAACTTTCCTTTCCAATAACCTACTCGTAATTCATATTGTGTATGGAAAAACCATGATTCAAATAATTATTAAGTATTTAATTTATGTACTTATAACGAGCATTTGTGGAATTTCAGATTTTCTCTTGATCACGTGCCTAATAAATAACTACTTCTTAGTAATGATTGCAACATTTTTTCAAGGCCCTCATACTACCACTTGGATCTCAAACATTACGTATGGTAATAATCCAAAGGAAAGGTAGAACAAATTATCAATATGAATTTACCAATAATTTGGATTGAGTTAAAAATGCTAATATTTTCTTCAACGTTATCAACAATATAACAAATCATCATATGTTTGCAACATATCCAACCTTTGGTCACAACAAAATCAAAATAGTATTGCACCAAAATTGAGTGCGGGATTGTAGCGTAATTGTCAAAGTGAATTACTATTACACATTTGAATGGCGTGTTGCTACACATATGATAAACCATATTAATCTTCATTCAGTATACTACATGGGATAAGTGTTGAAGATATGATGTCGTTGGTTCCATCTTAAGGTAAATGACCTTATATGTATCAGTTCTCCACATGGTTTGTGGATGTTTGGATTTGCCTAAGAGGCTAAGATCGTACTGGGGTATTGATGACACATTTCCGCTGAAAGATATGGCTTGAGAATTTTCAAGTAGAAAAATAGATATGAGAAGGTAATGCCTTCAATTAACTATAATTACACAATTGTATGTGTGTTGTATGCTTGTATTATAATGTGTTTCCATATGGGTTGTTATCTATATTTTGTCAATGCATAATGGCACTCTGCTATGACGAGGACAATGCTCTGTTTCACACTAGCCTACATAAGCTTTGGGTGGTTACACAAGGAAACAAAAAAAATGATGTATCAAAGATGGTTTCACTATAAAAACCACTATAATAAATGTATCACATGCTAGCATTTGAATAGCCGATGATGATAAGTCAACCACTTCACTAATCGCTACATCTCAGAAAATGTGTGTGTAATATGGTTTTAGAACCGACTGGATGTATATATGGGTGAGGGGAGGGGGTTGTACAAGCGTTGGTGGAATGTCAGTCCTCATTAGGGTCACCTCGAAGGTTACATTTCACTCGACACGATACACCATGGACAAAAGCACACACCACGCATGCACCACCACCATATGCAGCGGCAACCAATGAACCCATACCGGTCAAGGAGACTAGATCTAGCCGATAGCACCCTTCCCCATCTGCCTCCACCCTGCAACCCAAGCATGTGTGGCCACTCCGGTGGCACTCCAGCGCCAGTGAGGAGAGGAGACAACCGCGTCATGTCCACTACCTCCTAGGGATATGAAGATCCACAATGCTAGTAATCCAAACCGCGACATGCCACTTGATCCAGATGCCACAACCTCCCATGGAGAAGTAGCCTGTCGCGAGAACAACTCGCGCCGCCGGCCACTAGGATGGCTGGATCTCGTGTTCAACCAGCTGGATCCACGCATAGGTCGAGTAGAAGAACGCTAGAGAAGGAGGGATGAGGGTATCGTGGCCGCCCGATCTATCAAGCCTGCCATGACGCGCATCGTTGTTGCCTACAACTCTTCATGTTGCCAAGAGAATACCGCGACTCTTCCGCTAGCTCCTGAGGCCGCGCCTCCCTGCCCCATACTCAGTGGCATGCTGCCATCCGATGGCCTCGGCCCGCGCAAATCCACACCAAATGGAGGAAGAGGGGAGACCCTACCAATGATGGCGTTGGCCGGGCTTTGCCTACCAGCGCCAAGGCGGCTATGAGGGGAGAGCTGGGGGATATGATCGGCTGGCTAGGGGTTCCTCCCGCCAAGCACTCACGGGAGCGCCTAGAATAGACCCATGACATTATAGTCCTCGCTCTGATCATGAAACCTCAGTAGGCAGTACTTAGGCTTGCTACCCATCTGGGGAAATGACTTGGTAAAACCATCGTGTCACCACCATCAACATCAAGATCCCTTAGGGCACCACCCGTCCCTCTACTCTCTTCCATGACCTCTAGTAAACGGTACATTAATCATCGATACATGGTCAATGATTGCTATTGATGACCGGTTGATCACGATCTTACATATACCCTTGTGTATGTCACTGAGTGTGTGAGGTGTCGTGTTTGGAATATGTCGATGAAGACTCGAGACACAATGTATACATGTTTGAGCCTTCTTGAGGAGCATCTATATTATAGACATATCAAAATGGGTGTACTGTACGAGGCATGAATCTATTACCTAGGAGTTGAGAGGTGTTTTCCCATCCAACCTATATAGATCTAGGCTTATGAAGGTAGCTAGGGCAGAAGATAAATTAGATGATAAAGCCTAATGGTGTTGCTTGATGTGAGATCTTCCCCGGAGGATGCAAAACTCGTTGTCCTTTGCAGAGTTTATTGGACTCCTTATATAAGGTCAAAGTGTCATCAATAGTGGTATGCACAAACTCCTCTAGAGCATGTCTCCTTTTTCCATAGTCGTAGGGACACCTTCCCTTATCCTTGTAGAGTCTAGATATCTATTTGGATCAACCTTACAGAGAATTTCCTGAGTAAACCCAACTAAATTATTGGGCATCAAAAAATATCCTTAGGCATTCTATATCAATATGGTCATCGTATAGTGGTAGTTACATGGTAGATACACATCACATAACGACAACATGCGAACAGGGTATCTAGAAAAAGGGGTGTGCCGCAATGATTATTTTGAGACAATCATTTTGGGCCATCTTATAGTCATAAATGTCATATATCTAGGGTGATAGCACAGTATGACAATGATACTTTAGTAAAATTTGTGGTGAGAGTCTGAAAGGACATGCGGTGCCCCCATGTGTGGTTTTGGTAATTGATGACAATCTCTATGGACTAACGGTTGCCTTGAGTTATATTTGAAGCATTTGTCCATAGGATTGTCTTGAAGTCCATGTGTTGGTTTCAAGGAGTTTATGAGATGGCCAAAGTGCTTTTCAAGGAATTATCCAAAGATTGGTCATGTGTGAGTTGAGATGGCCAAAGTGCTTTTCAAGGAATTATCCAAAGATTGGTCATGTGTGAGTTGAGCTTATTGCAAGCATGTCTTGAAGAAGAAGATTGTGTGATCATTCATGTTTACCTTCAAGACATCATCCAAATGAAGAGAGTTGGAAAGATTCAATGTTGATCAAGACTAAGTCAAGAGTGAATCAAGTTGATCAACTCACAAAGCGTAGAAGAAGTACCGAGAGGGATCAAGTGATCCCATGGTATGGTAAGCATTGTCCATTACGCTTTGTGTACTAACCCATGGTCTACATGAGAGTTCTTTGTGGGGTTAGGTATGTTTCCATGGTCTTGCGTCAAGAGGAAGATCTCATACAACCCATGGAGGATGACATCAAGTGGTGATCGTCATCAAGTTTGAAGTGTGCAAGTTGAAGTGGAGCAACTCGAAGAGTGGCTCACCCATAATGGAGTATGGGGGAGCAATCAAGCTTTAAGCTTGCCGTCCATTGTGGTGTCAATGGAATTGTGAAGATGTGCCAAAGAGTGTCTCACCCATAGTGGAGTATGGGGGAGCAATCAACTAGTCTTCATCGAGCCAACACAATCAAGAAAGGTGGTCCAACTTGAGGAAGTCAAGATCGTCATCATCTAGCTCAAGTGGACTATGTGCAAGGCAAAGGTGTGCCCTTGATAGGTTTTCAATTTTACCGGTCTCATAGTGGTAGTTGGGAGACCGGGTTGTAGGATCGATTGCCGTACTATCAAGGGGGGCTCTCTAGGGAGTAGCTTGATCGTATCATTAGTCGAGAGCTCAAACCATTGCATCCTTGCATCATATTTCTTGGTTCTTGTTTGGTTCCATTTGTGAGTCTTAGAGCTTATGGTCATCTTTATGACAAGTTTGAGTTCATCGAAAATGGAGTTCGCATGCATCTTCTATGATGTTTTCAGTGTTGGAGGTTTTACCGGTCTTTTCCGAGGAAGGGTTCTCACCATTTTATTATGGTCATTTTCTCATTTGCTTCTTATTGATATTTCTCTCAATATTGTGTTATCCCTTGTCGTTAGCTTTCCAACAAACTTGGTTTCGTTGAATTCGGAGCTCGTATGCAAAAGTTGTGGCTATTTTGATATTGCCTGTTTTACACAGAGAGGTTGTACCGCCCCATGGAGAGGTTGTACCGGTCAAGTGTTTGGAGCGGTTGTACCACTCCAGTATTAGTCCGGAGGTTGTACCGGTCATGTACCGCTCTACCACCGGACTGGTCTCTATTGTGGTGCGGTTGTTGAGCGGTTGTGGGCCGGTTGTACCGCTTATTGCCTGTTACCGGTTGTACCGGTGCTCATAGAGGTTGTACTGCTCCTATGTTATTCTGTACATAACGGGCAGATTCGTGGGGACCTATTTAAGGGGGTCTTCTTCCCCAATGGTTCCCCATCTCTTGAGCTCGTTTTTGCCCCCATTGTTGACCTTCTTTGAGCTTGCTAACTCTCAATCCCTCCATGGATTCTTGCTAGTTTTTGAGGGAAAAAAGAGAGGAGATCTAGATCCACATTTCCACCAATCACTTTCTCCTCTATGTGAGGGGAACCCCTTGGATCTAGATCTTGGAGTTCTTGGTGTTCTCCTTCTTGTTCTTCCTCTCATTTTCCTTCCTAGCATTAGTTGCTCTAGTGGGATTTGAGAGAGGACTTGGGCACTCCGTGTGCCCTTGCCATTGCATTTGGTGCATCGGTTTGAGTTCTCCACGGTGATACGTGGAAGTGAAATTTGAGAAGCTTATTACTCTTGGGTGTTTGGGCACCCTAGAGCTTGTTCCTCTTGGGTGCCTTGGCGCC